AGACCAACTTGCTATTGAAATAGCGATTTACATAGCATATTATGGGAGGGTCTATGTTGAACGCTAATCGAGACATGTGTTGAGGAACTTGAACTTTTACCCTTGATTTTAGAAAGGCCATTCTCCAATTATTATATCGTTTAACAAGTTGCGTACGTGAGCTGTCAGTATTGATTGAATCATGTGTGAATAATTTAAGTGCTCAGATGTATTTAGACGGTAATTTAAAAAATGACTAGAGTACATAATTTTTATAGCTTCAGATGAAATAATTCTCGTACGTCTTTATTTTGCTAACATTATTGAAGCCGAAAATGGGAGCATGCAATGCCCTTATTTATTTAATCAAGAAATACGCGTAAACACACTTGTACATGTCACATAATCTATCTGATATTTTGAGATCTATCACTTTTGTTATGTTATCTATATTATCTATAGATATTCGAAATGGAAAGAATGCCCACTCCTATGTCAACATGTTATCTTTATCTAGAAATAACTACTGACAAAGAAATTGCATATAAAATGTAAAGGTTATAAAAGTAAGGGCGCCACATTCGTAGTAACGCTATTCTGTTAAAAGCACAGCGCTATTGAATCCAGGTTCGATCAAATAAAACCTGTATGATCTGGTTTATTTGTTTAACATCTATGCTGCTAGGGTTGCCAACGCAGTTGATTATTAATCTGTGAGGTGAAAAGTAATGAAAATCAATAACTATTTTATTTAAAGTTGCATTAGTTATCATTAGTGTATTCACTAAGTCACAAATACAAACATTCACTAGCTGTTTTAATATACCAATAAATTTCTTCGTCCATTGTCAAAATGATAATTTTCTTTGAGTCATCAAATTCGTATCACTTATTTAAATAAATGAAACATCAGTCGCCAGTTCTATAGATATTTAAGCTATATTCCTGGAGCCAGCGGATTTTAAAATCTAATGCCTATATTCTTGGAGAGTTGGCAACCCTAGCGGCAGCGCTGTGTTCGACGTTTTATTTTCAGCAGATGACTGATGATATTTATAACTGACTTTGTCTTATCTGAAATACCGATAGTAATGATGTCCTACTTCTACATTTGATTTGTCTCTTAAATTGACGAAAAATAGCACATAAATATTGTAAGATATAATGTGAGAGGGCGTCACGTTCGTAACAATAATGTTTCAAAAATATCACATTAGATTGCGGAATAATTAGTAAAAGCGGTAATGTGGAGCGTTTCCGTCATTTGTGGGACGTGCTCAGTCAGTTGGTACTCACTACCGTGCCCGTTATTGCGTGCCTATTGGTGGTTCATAACGCGATTAACCTTTGATTACCGCCCTGTCTATTGCGCTACTGTACTTTCTTAGCTTCTTAAGCTGTATTCACAATGCATTTACCTTTTATCTCTACATAATTTAACAATATAATTAGCTGTAATAATGAAAACGATTGAAAAAAAAACATGTTTTAAATATTTTATGCTCGTTGTCAAGTGACCCCACAAACAGCGTGTGACGTCACTCATATCAGAACTTAGAGAATTCAACCTTATGAATACATAGAACAATATTCGTTTCGGAGTGCTGTGACGTCTCAGCGACGTCATGACCAGAGGTCGGAATTAGGTAGAGTTATTTATGTATTTGCATCGAAATGTTGATATTAATGTGGACCTTCCCGGGATTTCTAATGGACATCTTTGGACATCCGATGTCATTGATGTAAGTTTAAATTGTGTAAAAGTAAATAACTTTTTATTTAAAAAATCACGGGATTTTTTCTGCTCTTTAAAATTAATCTCTGGATTTAAGGCATATCCACTTAATTCTTTCGCTGTATGAAATCAGTGTAAGTACATGAATAACTCTACCTAATTCCGACCACCGGTCATGACAGACGTTTTCGTGGGAAATATTGAAAAATATTTTTTTTTAGATTTCAACTTATTATAAGAATCATATTTATTAAATATTTGTTTTAGATATATTTTATGTAAATATACATATTTAAATAAAAATATTCAAAAAAGTTGTGTAGACAGACCCTGTTTCCTCGCCAGATTTATTATGTGTACACCATGAGATGTTTGCGGTTTTGAAACTTCATTTATAATTATTTATTATTATTTATTATTATCTGTTATTTATTAATTACAATGCAGGATTTACATTTTATACGCCAATCTACTATCTAGCATGTTACAAATTCTTTTTTGAAATACTGCTTAATTACTATATTTTTTTATTGTTCTACTCAAGGGAAATCGACGCTATAAAATAACATTCAGTAATATAATACAATATGTGATAAAACGCATATTAAATTAAATATAAAATAAACACATACATATATCATAGACAAATACACACATAATATGATCATCACCAATGTAACAATAAACAGGCTAGTTGACTTATTTAATTATTAAATAATCCATTAATATCTGAGAAATAATGGAGAAGCAACGTTTGCGATTAAGTTTCACAGATACGGTGCTCTGTTTGTTGAGCTGCTGGAATCGGTCGAAATCGCTCACTATAAATTAAAGCCACGAAGTGACGTCACGCCGTTTTAACGAATAACGTCTGGATAATCTTTGTAATGTTACTAGTTGTTAAAATGAGACTTATTATATTTTAGTTAACTAATTTAATGCTATATATATTTAAAAAAAATTGGTAATATATTTCCCCATTTTTTTAAGTTTTCAAAGCGTAATATTTTTCAGATTAGAGTAATAAATTATATTTTGTTTAATATTAATAACTTAAAAAGGTTCATATTTTCCAGAAATATAACAGAAAACTGCATTTTCACATTATGTTTCCTTATAATTACGTACGTTATTTTAAACATATTTACGTCAACTTAATGACTCTTCATAATGTTCTTGATTTCGTAAGCTTTATTTATCTTTCTTTTTTATATGTCGTAATTACTTTGTGCGTGGATATTATATTAAGTTTAATGTTGATATAGACACCGCGACCCATCAGACTACTACAATATGTCAAAGTTCCTCAATCGATTTTAAACTCTACCAATAATGAGTTAAGGTTTAAAATTAGTTGGAGAAATATGTCAGTTTTGTATAACCTGATATTGACAGTATATTTTATATGTTAATACACTTACTAATAAGAAATTTATGACCGTTGTTTAGTTACACATAGCTTTATTCACGCACGCCATTTCAATGTTTCATTTCATTTTCGATTCCTTCCATTTCGAGTGAAAAAGTCAAAACATTGTAAAATAAACATTGTTTATCGGTAAGGTTTGTGATTTAAAAATAAATTCAGTTTGAGAATTCTACGAAACGGTTGCATTTACAAAATAAGTCTGTTATATTTTTATATTTGTTTTAAATCATTGAAACAGATGGATAAAAAGTGTACATTTAATATAAGTATATTAAATCTTTTGTAGACTAATATTGTTGTATAACAATGGTTTCAGGTGCTGAGTGAAAAACTAAGGATTACGGCTGAGCAGCGGACGTTATTGTTGGAGCGTCTCGAGCGTGCCCGAGACATCAACGAGGACCTTAAATTTAGGGTACGCATTGATACTTTCCTATATTTTACTAGCATATTTACTCGTCGAATTTCATAAAACCCATTTTATACAGGAAAAAAGTTTTCTATTCAAGTAATTTATGATTTTTTTTGTGTTGTTATTAACTATTGTAGCACCAAACTTAGTCTTAAATTTCGAGGTTATTTTTCAGTGATTCGTTTCAGAAAAACGTGTATTGTCTAGTCAGAACAAGTTTTAACTGATATACAATTTTGAGCATTCATTAATTCTAGTTTTAACAAAGGCATTTAGTAAAAACTAATTCTAACTGGGGCAAACGCGTTCTATCTAAAAACTGGTTTTAACTGTAACTTAAATACGGCTTATAATAAACAAGATTTTTAAATCACGTTATGTTAATGTTATGCTAAATTATCAAAAACCTTTTAACACCAAAGACGTCTTTAAAATGCTTGCTTTTGCTTTTACAAAATAAGTCGGTTATTCACAGTTCACATCTTTTTTGTATCAGCGCGGTTAATGTTTGTGCGTTGTCTATGGCTATCTGCCGGGCAGCAGCGATTGCAAACGAATATTCGTGTTCACTTAATATCTACAAATATTAATAAAAAATAGCTTTTTGTTCATTACTTTTTTAAAGTCTATTAAATTATAGATTATAGCTTTAAAACTACTGAACGTTTGATGAAACTCTCTAAGTTAAAAGCTAAGCAATCAAATGATCATTGCAATACAATGCCTTTAATTTGTATTAACCTACTGGATTGGCTGGGTGATACTTTCATTGTATCGGATACTCCGTGACACAAGGGTCATCTACTTATTTTGGAATAATATACGTGATGTTAAAATATTCTTAATATAAAATGCTTTAAAAAATCCACTTTGTCCCTGGCACTCTGAGATGGAACTCGAGCCCATGACCTTTGCGTTCAACCACTACCTTACAGGACTGACGAATCTTTCAAGTACTTGTTACAGAGCGTATTTTCATCAATATTTTGAATTGGTTGCCTGATTCCACCCAAACAGCTGAAAGAAATATTTGAACTTTCGATAAAGATGAAAATTTGTTCTAATTATTATATACGATCAATTATGCATTCACAATGCTATACTCGGCATAGCTTAAAATTGGTCTAATTATACGTGTTGTTTAATATTCATTAATTTTCGATTTGCAGTTAGAGGAGAAGACAGTAGAGCTGGAGGGGGCGAAGACCCGCATTCGTCAGCTGGAGGGGCGGCGGCGAAGCGGGTCCCGCGATAGTCCTCCGCGCCATACCAGCATGCGGGACATGGAGCCGCTGCCGCTACCCGACGACGACTGCGACATCCGAATAACAGAGACGCCGCGCCGCCGCCCCTCGCGCATCCCCCTCCACACCGCGCACAAGGGCGCCGCGCCCCGCCCCCCTCCGCCGCCCCGCCCGCCCTCCGCGCACTCGGTCCGCTCGGCGACGTCGGCGCGCTCGCATCAATCCACCGCGCACGCGCACGCGCGCAAGGAAACCAAATCCGCCGTGCCCGTGCGCCGCGCCTCGCCCCACGACAAGGTGCGCGTCCGATCATTCTGGAACTCCTGGTTCTTTAAAGATTCCGGCTCGTAGAGTTCCACTGATATCATTAGGGTTGCCAGACGGGAAGACTAAAATATTTGGGCAAAAAAAATCATAAAATCGGGATTACTCGGAACAAAAATCGATACATTGATCTTCGCCTCGGAAAAATATTGATGATTAACAAAAATAATGGAATTATTTCTAGTTTGTTTCAGCCATTACCTAGCGAAAGATATAATGAATTTATCTATATAAATAATTTAACGGGATATTTCCTTCTTTTTTGAAAAGCCTGACCATCTGGCAACCCTAGACGGAATCGCCACCCGACAAGGAACAACTGGTTCTTTAAAGATTTTCGGCTCGTAATATCCACTGATGGAATAAAATAGACGAAACGCGACCGCTCCCCCCGTGGAACTTTAAAGAGTCCGAGTGCGATCTGTATGGTTTTTTAAAGTGCTAAAAACCCACCGTGTGAGAGTGCACCATGTTTCATAATCGGTGACTAAAATCCGTGACTGTCTCAATGTTTGGTTTTGGTTCCCAAGCCGCGTTCTGGCGGGTCGCAGTCGTCGCCTCCGGCCCAGAATCACATGCCATTATGTCGATCGTAAGTTTTTTTTTTCGTTTTGGTTCGCTTTCGTTCCTCCCCTTCCCCCTCATACTTCGTTTTTCAGTTTGTTCGACCACGGTTTTGTGTAGTTTTTAGTTCCGTTTTTGTTCCGTTTTCGTACGTAGTCGACCCGTAGACTGAGAGCATGGTTCTTTTTTTACTAACGATCGTGTTTGTTCGTTACTAATTATGGTGAAATTGTGATGGCTTAAAAATCTTTGAAATTTTGTATAAATTATATTGTGAATATTATGTTAAGATAAAGTGATAGTCATGTCTGTTTTGAGATTGTATAATTGCGTTCATATATGAAATCATTGACAGTGTAGAATTATATTTTATTATGTTAATGTGTATCGATTACAGATTTTTATGCCACACTTGTTTATTCATATTACTAATTGTAACTACATTAAATCATATTGTAAAAGTTGTCGTACACGGGAGCAGTGTTAGAAGGGAATCACTCATTTATAACAATCAATAAATTAACGACACTCACCCCGTGTACGATAGCTGTTTCATTTCTGTTATTAATTAATCCCATATCATCAAATAGTGGTGTTTTTAATTTAATCATTAATTTTTTTAACATTCAATGTTTATGAATTTTCTGTTTTAACTTCTGTTTTAACTATTAATAATAAACTTGTGAAGATACAGTGATGGTAAGTGTAAGCTATGTCATTATTATAGATATCACTATTTTGCCACTCGACGCGTCATTCATTATCATTTTAATTAGAATAATAAGTTTTAGTTTGCAGTTTGTTTATTTTGTATCTTTTCATTTAAGGTTTTTGACATAGTGGCATATTCGCAAATTGGCTATTTGTAAACTAAGCAAATAATGTAGACCTCCCACATGGCTAAAAAGCACTCGAAAAAATAACTGAGCAACGGTAGGTGAACTATTTTTGCACTAAAACACTGCTAATCAAATTATACATTATAGCTATTGAAAATTTAACCAGCGATAGTCTAAGTAATATTTACAAGCATATTCTAAACAATGAAACTAATATTCACTAGTAATGCCACTAGTTTAGCAGTAAAATATGCACAAAAGATAACTAGTGTCTCAGCTAGATATCGACTAGAAAAACAATTTGAATCGATCATCCCATACACGCTAATTATATAGTTAATATATAATAAAAAGAAGGCTGTAGTATTTGAAATTCACAATTCACCAGTCGTTAGTGCTCGGCTGGCATGTGGTCTCCTAATTTTGGGACTTTTGGCAGAAAACCCGACAGAGCATCGACGTCAGTGGAGGCCGCGACTCTGTGAGCCGGGAAGCAGTGAGTCGTGAATCAGTGAGTCGCGAAGGAGTGAGTCGCGCGGCTCTAGCGGAATACGTGGCTCGCGCGTCTCGACTCGCTCCTCTGTTCCCGCGCCTCCATACTGTACGTACTCGTCCGCTGCCCTCAGAACTTGCGATGGAATACCAGTTCGCATACGAGAGCCCGCAGAATCTCGCCCTCGAACTCTCCAAGTCGATCCTCTACGAGAACGAGTCCGTCGATGTGGTATCGTTGAAATCAATCGATTCAGCCGCCGACTCGCTGTGGAACGGGAAACCGCAGCAGTATTTCGAGAGTATGCAGTACGGCGAACGAACTGCCGATTCGGATGGGAAAGAATACGACGACGACTCTTTGGCTCCTCGGTCGTGAACATATTGTTTTAATTAGTCGAATTTCTATAATGAAGATTACGAATCTACATGGTCATCGGCGCTTCTCTTTTTTCTAGTTCCTATCTGTTGCCTAATTTAAAGTCGCTCGTATCGTGATGGTCGTTCGTTTTCGATTATCGAATATTATCCTTCCGATTTGTGAAAAGTTCGTTTTAGTTTTCCAGTGATCTGTGATATGTGTCGCGTTGTCTGCATCGCTTGCTTGTATTAGATCACGGCCATATCGAATTCGAAGTTTAACCGAGTTTCGTTACCGGGTTTGTGTATTTAAAATTGTAATGGAATTCTATTGATACTAGAATATTCTAAATTTATTAATGTGATTATTTCTCTAAATATAAGCATCGACAATGCGAAGCTTATAAATTAATATCAATTCAATTGTAACGATATATTATGATAAATGTATTATTAATTTGAATTTACCGGTATATGTATTCCAACAAATTAAATTATTGCGAATCTACAAATTTTAGACTACATTAATTCATTTAGATATGCATTTTATATAGTATGTATGTGTGCAGAGGATGGTAGCTATTAAATCTATTACGTCATTCCTGTGTCCAATGGACAGAGACTGTAACTAATTTAAAATTGAGTGAGAGCTTGGAACGACTGTAGCAAGGCTGTGAAACACTGATTAGTGCTTGATGTTGTATCTGATGTAAAATATGGGAAAGACCTAAGGTGTTAATTAAATTTATATCTATAATGGTTCACAAGGTACGTTTATGATTGTGAGAACTTAATTCATAATTAATTTATAGCGTTGATATTATACTATTGTTGTTAAACTTATCCATACGTCCAATGCTGTACGTCCTATTGTGCGTTTATCGCATGACTGCCCGAGTTACTGAAAACATTAGTTGATTTTATTAGTGTATAGTTTTCCCACACAACAGAGCTCGATAACAAATAGTAGGAGACTGATTTTGTATAAATCTAATGAAATATATAGTGATATGCTTATACCAAGGGAGGAAGGAGGGTACTCCGTTTGGACGCCCTTTTATTGTACATTGTTTCTAAATTTAAGCTTCTTACTATGTAAAAAGTTGCCTATTAATATCTATTAATGTAATAAAATTGTTTTTAAGCAAATATTCCATTCTATAGACTCTATGACTGTATTTTTTGTAAGTTAGAATATAAATGTTAAAAAGTAATTTAAGTCAACTGTTTTATTGTGTTATTGTACAGCTTTCATTCACGCTCTTAGTATTTGTAAATTATTAAGCCACATACGATTAAGATACTCATAAAATTATCTAGTTGACTTAATCTAGTTGGTGACTATCATTGTAGAGTTGTACAGAAATCATATCATTATTATACAAATTATTCAAATAAATTGTTCATATCAAAATATTATTTTTTATTTCTAAGAAGTCCATTAGTTCAGCATCAACAATAGTTATGTAGCAAAAATAAAAACTTAACAAATTATAACTAATAACAGTGTAACGTGAGTTCACAAAATGTATAAAGTAACAAATTAACAAAATGTAACGCGTAACAATTAAGACTTATCTATATTACTAATGCATTTATTTAACACTATCGCACTTGGGCCCAAGATGATATCGTTTATTTCTAAAGTTTCTAAAATTTTATTGATGACAATGGATCCATGTTGTTTCAACTCTCAAAGAAGCAATGCTATTTTACTCGAAAAGGCCAAATCAGAGTGAGTTTTTCAAGAACAGTTTAAAAGAGTTGACTATAATAATCGAGGGGCTGATAACTTTTAATTTATGCTACAGCAGCAGGTTTATACAAAACTGTAAAATTTTCTCAACTTTATATTAAACCTTATTTGAAAGTAGAGGGAAAAAAGTAAATTACATTTTGTGGTAGTTCTACATGCAGCCTTGTGTACTTATAGTAGCATGTCAGTATGCCAATTGATTTGAAACTCTACATCAATGCACTAAGGTTTAAAATTAAATAGAGATCGATTGTTTTAAATAACCTGATGTACAGTTAACTGCACAACTTGATTTATTTTTATAACAATTAAGCTATAGTTCTAGTCTTATACCATCATTAGCGTTAAATGCAAGCATACTTTATGCAAAGAAACACTAGGAGAACAAGCCATAATCGACACGAAAACAATTAAAAACTTATTTACTATTTGTAAATTATTAAGCCACATACGATTAAAATACTCATAAAATTATTAAGTTGACTTTATCTAATTAGTGACTACCATTGTAGAGTTGTTCAGGAATCGTATCTTTAATATGCAAATTATTCAAATAAATTGTTCATAATATCAAAATATTATTTTTTATTTCTAATAAGGCCAATAGTTTAGCATCCACAATAGTTAAGTAAAACAAAAAACTTAACAAATCATAAGTAATAACAGCGTAGCCAACGTAAATCAACAAAATCAGAGTAACAAATTAAGACATATCTATATTACTAATAAATTTATTTAATACTATCGAACTTGGGCCCAAGAAGGATATCCTTTATTTCTAAAGTTTCTGGAATTTTATTGATGACGATGAATCCATGTTGTTTCAACTCTGTAAAAAGCAACGCTATTTACTCAAGAAGCCAAATCAGAGCGAGTTTTTAAAGGACATTTTGAAAAAGTTGTCTGTAATAATCGCCCCTATACATTTTAATTTATGCTACAGCAGCAGGTTATACATAACTGTAAAATTTTCTTCACTCTATATTAACCTATATTACATTTAAAGTAAAGGGTATAAAGTCAATTACCAAAATTTGACATATTATGGTAGTTTGACGTGAAGCTTTGTGTACTTATAGCAAGCAGCATGTCAGTATGCTAATTGATTTTAAACTCTACATCAATGCATTAAGGTTTAGAATGATATAGATTGTTTTGAACAACCTGACGTTCTGTTGACTGCAGGCTTTATTTTTAGAATAATTAAGCTATACTTATAGTCTTATACCATCATTAACGTTAAATGCAGGCGCTTTTCATGCAAAACACTGGGAGAACTAGCAATTACCTACGCAGTCCTAATACGGATCAGTGGCTCTTAACAACTGCAAAAGCAACTAGATCCAACGGCTTTAAGTTCTTTACGTAAAAGGGGGATTTCGAGGTAATGAGTTTTAGTATAAATATTTTTAGTCTTTTAATTCAGACTTCAGAATATCTTATTCTAGTTAAATCTAGTATCGTGATGAGTTTGACCAATATACAGATAAGTTGGGAATTGGAAATTCTAAACTGAAAGGAATTCTTGGTCACACACCCGATAACCGACGTTTTCGAAAATTATTTATCAATGCAGACAGAACACGTTGACGCCATTGAAATTATAAGTTATATATGTATAATAAACAAATCAACTCACTCAGTATTGATGTGAAACATCGGGCAGCCATTATCGACTTGTAGCCAGCCATCACTGGTCCTTTTGCGATGAGCCTTCTTATTGTCAACGGTTTAATGCCAGCTTTTATGCTACGCAGAATTTTCACCATTGTTCCTTCGGTTCCCCATTGCTCACTATACAAATAATGGTCAGAATAAAGTTTATAAAAATATGTAATATTAGCTGTTACCTTAAGCTTCGCCCACGTGTTCAAAGGTAATTATTATTTGAGGTAAACAGTAGACTTTTCCTGTCACTAGCTTCCCAACTATCTTAATACAAAAAATATATCATAGCTACGATGAAGTTTATAGTAGCTATGGTATGCTTTTTGTATTGTCCAAATTCATTATATAACATTGCAATGTACTTTTGCCGTATAAATAAACATTGATATTGATAAAAACCATTTACAGAATAAAAGTGTGTGTGAGTTTATCATAAGTCTAATTTGAGTGAGAAAATTTTGAGAAGTTAGGTATACGTAACGGATGCAGAATGTGCAAAATGTAAGTACTTATTAATTTCAAAAATGTTGCCTATCTATAGGTATAAAGATTTAAGAAGTCTTAGCCCTCATTCGCAGGAGTTTTTTGAGTTCATCAAAAAAAGTTCAAATATAATATATTCAAGAATAGCATTCCCAAATCTTAAGCTTTTAAAAGGCGACGCTTTTTATCGCTCTTTAATCCTTTTTCAGCGTTGGGCGTTGGGAGTAATATTCAATTTGGATTGTTGGGAGTTTTAAAAGCTCACGTGTGAATGTGGGCTTAAGGTCTACTCATATATATTCAATGCAATACGAAGTCAAGATCTTGACGTTCAAATAGGCACAACTTATGTCATTAGGTATATAAGGTACTTTCGCCTAATAACGCCCAAGGTTTTTGACCGCTAAAGCGCTGAAGACTACCTAGTATACCTTCAAATTTCATTATTAAAGATCCGTCAGTTAGTTTTTATTACTCCAGCGGTTGAAAACAATGGGCGTTATTAGGCAACAGTACCTTATAAACGGCCATTTACCGAATGAATTTTTTCGAGTCTGTAGTCTGATCTGAATCTCCGAGAGATACTTTTGTCCTGTCCAAACTTCCCAATGGCGTTTCGGAGGTTTCGCTGCCATCTCGTCTAAATGTTTTTTGAGTTACAGATTCCTGAGGCACAGCTTGAGGTACTTCTTGTTCTTCTACAACTCTTGACGGTAAATCTGCTAAACCTGCTTCTTCTAGCATCGCTGTAAGACTTTTTTCAACAGCATCTGTTGGACGAATGTTTGTGTCCCGTCTTTCTATAGGTTCAGTTCTTTGTATATTCGCATGTGTTACTATATTCGAGTGTGGGGGTGTACGAATGTTCGCTGCTCCTTGTATGTTTTCCTTTTCGGCTTCTGATTAAACAGAAAACGGTAGAAATTTTGTAACAATAAGGTAAGATGTATTCGAAATTAAAAAAGGTTCATAAAAGGTTCTTAAAGACATACCACATAATGGGACCGATGTTTCTATAGCCAAATGTTGACTTTGCCTGAATGAAACGTAGCCGCTCAACCTTTGTCGTTTTGGCTAAAGAAAATTCACAAACTAATTATTAAATGTATATA